CAGTGCAAGGTAAGGAGGCCAAAAAATACCTGAAAGCTTCTGCATATGGCATTTCTGACAAATGCCATAGTTTTTCAATCATTTTTTGAGCAACACCTGAAAAACGAATCAGAAAGTAAACACGTTGCAACATGCATTTCATCTCAAGGACTATTTTATATATATTTCTTTAAGTGTCTTTCTGGCTTGCAAATCACTCCTTATATCTAACTATACATCTATGTACACCTTCACAGAACACGTCTGGGCCTGTTTCTGCAGTCCCTACACAAATAACACACCCATCCACTTGAATGGGAGCTCTTTTTTGATAAATGTGGCAAGATTGGGCCTTTGGTACATACGGGCAAGTATCCTGCACACTTATTTTAAAATCATTAAAAAAATATAGTAGCTATAGATTTATAACCAATCAAAATCTAAACAGTAAAACTGCACTTACTACAGTACAGCCTAGGTGAATTTACATTGCTCATTTCTATGAAGCAAACAAAAGAAAGGAAATTCCTGTCACCCTGTAATTACTGCTTAACTGTAATTACAGTTTTGCTTACCCTTTTGTCTGTCCAAAAAGCCCAAAAGGATTTTTGCAACTAAAAAGAGGGATTCGCACCATTTCTTTCCAACATATGGAGGCTTCCCATGTGCTTTCCCATGTTTTTTGAAGTATCTCTCACAACATATCAGACTCCTTTCGGTTGCTTTTGTTCACTTCAATCACCATAGTAAAGAAAAATCCCCTACCAAAGAAGGTAACCTTAGCAAAGCAGCAGCAGCAAAGCAATACTGAAGTCACTACTAGTCCCATACTCAGGCAGAATGAGGAGTAAGGGCTCTAGGTACCAGCTTCAGTGTCATTCCTGTTATCGTAAAGCTTAATGCACAGCAAGACGGCCAACCCACTGGGTCACATTGCTCTCCAAATAGCACTTTCACCACAGCACTTCATTGTCAAAGCCCTTTGCACATAAATCTACAAAACACACCAAAGACAAAGATCTCTTGCATATTAAATCAAGGAAACTATTTCATCTACAAGTTCATTTAGTGTGCTGCATATTTCACAGCTAGCCGATACGAGGTGGTGCTCAGTAATACACCGTACAACTCTAAGATCAAAAGCACAACACCACAAGTATACAGATCTTAAGCACAGGTCCTTCCCCTGCCCCTGGCTGGTATTTCCCAAGCGAGTTCTGATACCTTCATCAAAGATATGGGTTGCTTTTAAAGCAATCAGACTGCTGGAGTCCAGTGTAAAGTTAAGGAAATACACTGTCACATACCGTCCAGGTCACTGCTGGTAAGCAAGGACTTTTGAGATGGTGACCATCATGCTTCACTTCCTTGTTGATCGTTTTATCTGTAGCGTGAGCAACTTTCACAGCTCTCAGCCTAGCACAGAGGCTTTTAAAAGAAGCTTTGTGCATTCATGCATTACAAAATCAAAATCCAAGTCCAGATTTGAACTCTCTTCTAAAAAAAAAAAAAAGTATCCCTCATACAGAACTAGCACTTTATACTCCAAATCTTTGATAAAAGATCCTGTAATCTAAGTAAGACAAGTCAAGGCACCGGACAACAGTCCGAGTGCTTCAGACTAAGAACTTAGCTAAGGAAATTCTGTTTGTTTAACTATGCCAGCACAGCAGAAACAGCAAACCTCACCCTCCTGTGTATGCAGACATGCCAGTGTGAAAGGGCATAGACCAGC